TTTTCTTTTTCATTTCTAACTTTTAAATATGTATCTTTAAAATCTTAATAAAATATTATTTTAAAAAATGCCCATCCTTATAGTTACAGAGAAGACCCCCACAGAGGAAGATCCCTATCTTCCTTACAATTCACCCAGAAGGCTGTCTGTTGGGGACCTAATGAGTCCCTGATCTAATACAACAAGCGATCATTCTCTTTTCCAAACATAACGTGAATCACACATTCCAGGGCCAGAATCAATTACAAGATCCAATGGGAAACATCTCCACAATATTTCTTCTTATTCTATCAGTCACCTAAGTGTTATTACTACTAAATAATTAACAAAATTAAGACATAAATTGGCATGACCCTCCTTAATCAGCACTGAAATCTAAAGATTAAAAAAACAGTTTCAGAGTAAAGACACCCAACTAATTATCACAATGGCAATGAGGTTGAAAGATACTGAACACATACAGTGGGGCAAAAAAGTATTTAGTCAGCCACTAATTGTGCAAGTTCTCCCACTTAAAAAGATGAGAGAGGCCTGTAATTTTCATCATAGGTGAATTTCATCAACTATGAGAGACAAAATGGGGGGAAAAAATCCAGAAAATCACATTGTCTGAAAATTACAGGCCTCTCTCATCTTTTTAAGTGGGAGAACTTGCACAATTAGTGGCTGACTAAATACTTTTTTTGAAAATTACAGGCCTCTCTCATCTTTTTAAGTGGGAGAACTTGCACAATTAGTGGCTGACTAAATACTTTTTTTGAAAATTACAGGCCTCTCTCATCTTTTTAAGTGGGAGAACTTGCACAATTAGTGGCTGACTAAATACTTTTTTTGAAAATTACAGGCCTCTCTCATCTTTTTAAGTGGGAGAACTTGCACAATTAGTGGCTGACTAAATACTTTTTTTGAAAATTACAGGCCTCTCTCATCTTTTTAAGTGGGAGAACTTGCACAATTAGTGGCTGACTAAATACTTTTTTTGAAAATTACAGGCCTCTCTCATCTTTTTAAGTGGGAGAACTTGCACAATTAGTGGCTGACTAAATACTTTTTTTGAAAATTACAGGCCTCTCTCATCTTTTTAAGTGGGAGAACTTGCACAATTAGTGGCTGACTAAATACTTTTTTATTCTTTAAAAATCAGACAATGTGATTTTCTGGATTTTTTCCCCCCATTTTGTCTCTCATAGTTGATGAAATTC